TCATTCAATAAGTTTGTCAGATTTATTCGTGCAAGTCTGTAAAATGTTTGCAGGTGGGATTTTTTTTTCACTTAATATTTCGCTCTCCAAGTTTACGAAAGTCATAACAAGAAAGTTTGGGTAATGATCTTGTTTTGTTATTTTATGCTGTAGCTCTGTAATTATATATTGTTTTTCTGTAACTTGTGTAGTTCTGTTGTTATTTGATGTACTCCAGTCATTATATGCCGTACTTCTGTTTTTATATGATGTAATTGTTATTTTATGCTGTTGTTCTTTCATTATATGCTGTAGTCCTGTAAATATACGTTATATTTCTAATATTATATGCTGTAATTCTGTTATTATATTCTATAATTCTGTTATTATATGCCTTACTTCTGTTGTCATATGTTGTGGTCTATATTCTTTTTTTCATTTTATGTACTGTGGAGGGTGACTTAAGGGTGATTTTCTAAAATAACTTTTGGATTTTAAGAGTTTAAACAGGCGTTTAATTGTGCTTCTTTGTTTGCAGACTTGTTTTATATTCCTGTGAAGCAGAATTTCTTCAAAATCTTCTATATGAGAAGAGGAAAATGCTTGTTGTGGTCTTCAATTCGACATTCATATATATCGACAGTGTTTTATCAATTAAAATTAGTTATTTTCATTCATATGTTGACTCTATATATCCGTGTGAACTTGAGATAAAAGACACCACAGAGTCTGCCACATGAAACATGGAGATAACGAACAGTACTCAAGCTCATAGTCCATTAAAACAATACAAAACGGGAGCAGAGCAAACTCGGACCTCTAATAAACATGAAAGGTGGGATCAGGTGCTATGGAGGAACGAGCATCCCCTCCGAGCGGTCACAACCGCCGTGTGCTCCTGTCATGATCGGTAAACAAGAAGTCTGTGAGCCAATGCTCACTAATAATACCCCCTTTCTGATGTGAATACACAAGTTCAGTTATGGACAAACACAGTGATAATCAGGAAATTGACATTGAATTAGTAAAAAATGAATACCAACATATGGCATGCCTAAACAAACATTGTGTTAAGATTTCAAGCACCTGCGATGAGTATTTGCTGCGAAATCTGCGACCAAAATTTGGTATGTGTTGTACAGACAGATGCAGGGATAAACAGGAAGTTGACATCGGATTTGTACCAAAATGAATCCCATTATATGGCATGCCTAAATAAGATTGTGCTAAAATGTCAAGCATCTGAGTAGTTGCTGAGAAAACTGCGACCAAAATTTGCTATGTATGGTACGGTTAGACGCACGGATAAACAGGAAGTTTACATCAGATTCGTACAAAAATGAATCCCACCATATGGCATGCCTAAACAAAGATTATGTTAAAATTTCAAGCATATGCGATGAGTAGTTGCTGAGACAACTACGACCAAAATTTGTTATGTATGGTACAGACAGACGCACGGATAAACAGGAAGTTTACATCAGATTCGTACAAAAATGAATCCCACCATATGGCATGCCTAAACAAAGATTCTGCTAAAATTTCAAGCATCTGCAATGAGTAGTTGCTGAGAAAACTGCGACCAAAATTTGTTACGGACAGACAGAGAGACAGACAAGGGTAAAACAGTATACCCCCCTCTCCTTCGGAACGGGGGTATAATAACGGAAAATCCGTCGACAATTCAGTGTGTAAAGAATGACCTAACAATTAGTATAAAACACGTCAGGAAGCATGACTGAATGATAGATTGTATTTGTTGACAAGGTCATTGTATCAACCACAGAACTTACGAAAAGATTACTTTAAACGAGACTTTTGATATTCTTGTTTTGTCAACTTGTTTGTCAATAACTTACCTCGTTAAAGGAATTGTTCATACGTATAGAGCTTGCTTTGCGTATCGAATCAACTGAGAGATACACACCCGATATGCAGGTGAGGAGGGTATATTGCTGCATAAGTAAGGGAAGTTAACGATTGAAAAGTTTAAGTGATCACGTTTTTCATGAATCTTTGTTGTTAGATTTCCATTAACGTCTTTTTCTAGTAAAATATCCAAATATGAAACTGATGCGTCAGACTCTGTGGTATCTTTTATTTCAAGCTCACTGGGGTATATCGTGTCTACATATGGATGGAAATAACTATTGTTAATTGATAATACGTCGTCGATATATCTAAATTCGAGTTGAAGCCACAACAAGGTATTTCTTTTTCTCGTAAGATTTTAAATAAATTCTGCTTCATACAGATACAAAAAAAAAACCGGTCTGCTAACTGGTACCCGTTGGAATGCCATCAGATTGTTGGAAGACCTGGTCTCCAAAAACCACATAGACATTGTTAATCAGAATCTCAAGCATCTTTTTTTAAATATCAACTTATTTAAAATCAGAATGTTTTTTGATAAAATAATTTTGCAAAAGACAATTGACAAGATAAGTAAATTTGCGAGTTCCATTTTTATTGAAAAAAGCATCTGTCAAGGATGTCAAAAGCCTGGACTTTAATTAATTGTGGGGAATGGTTGTTCATAGAGTTGAAAAGTTTTATGCTATGGATTTTGGTAAAATTTTGTAATTTCAAATTTTGCAAAAGTCCCTTGGATAAAAGAAAGAGGCTTGGAAGAACATTTATTTGTAAGGATTTTTATGAAGTTTCGGAATCCAATATAGATATGGTAATTCAAATTCAGTTTGGTTGTTGGGAATATTAAAAATATTCAAAACGGACATATGATTTTGAAGAATTTCCTCATTAAAAAGGAGGCTATGGATATAAGTTGGATTGCCACTTGTAGAATAAAATCCTAGTTCTTCAAAAATAGAGTTAAAATAATGAGCCTTACAAATTCATATTCGGATGTTTAACTGTTAGACGATAAAGGCCAATGAACAACTAAATTGTATGACAACAGAGATGATTTCAGCTTTTCCATCGTCAACTTTCTTTATGTAAAATATTCCACTATCACCTGCTTGTGGTGTTTATGCCCCCCCCCCCCCAACCTATTCGCTAATTAAGAGCTTGCTCTCAGTACGATCAATTGTGAAGAGAGGCATGTTTATCACTGATAAGTTGATGTTACATGGATTTCAACAGCCTCTATTATAGTCGGCATTTCGTAACTTCTTTCATCGTAATAATGACCATGTTAGCAAATAAAGCCTATCATTAGGTCGCATTTTGGATGACTTGTTTCATACCAATTGTTATGCCTTCGTTTTTATACTGAAATTGACAACTGAAAGTTTCGTCTACACGTTCAATACAAAGGGCTCACGGCGTGTGTGACTGGTCAATAGGGGATGCTTACTCCACCTAGGCACCTGATCCCACCACTTCTAGGGGTTTGTGTTTTAGGCCTTCTTTACATATTGGTAAGTTAAGAACAGACACGGGGATAATAGGAAGTTGACATCAGATTGACATCGGATTCGTACAAAAATAAATCCCACCATATGACATGCTTAAATAAAGAGTGTGCTAAAATTCCAAGCCTCTGCAATGAGTAGTTGCTGAGAAAAAAAAAACGACAAAATTAATTATGTTTGGTACGGACAGACACACGGATAAACAGAAAGTTGACAACGGATTCGTACAAAAATGAATCCCACCATGTGACATGAGTAAACAGTGTACTAAAATTTCAAGCCTAGTTGCTCAGAAAAAAAAACGACAAAAATTAGTTATATATGGTACGGACAGACACATGGATAAACAGGAAGTTGACATTGGATGTGTACAAAAATGAATCCCACCATATGGCACGCCTAAACAGAGAGTGTGTTAAATTTTCAAGCCTCTGCAATGAGTGGTTGCTGAAAAAACTGCGACCAAAATTTGTAAAGTATGGTACGGACAGACGCACGGCTAAACATGAAGTTGACATCAAATTCGTACATAAATTAATTCCACCATATGGCATGCCTCAACAAAGAGTGCTAAAATTTCAAGCCTCTGCGATGAGTAGTTGCTTAGAAAACTGTGACGAAAAAATTGTTACGGACGGACAGACAGCTAGACACACACACAGACAGACACACTGGGGTAAAACAGTATACCCCCTTTCCTTCGGAGTCAAACCCTAAAGTAACGTTTTCAGTCACTATATTGCAACATAGCACACCAGCATGAATAAGCTGGTAAATATAACTAAACTGTAATTTTACGTCTCATATCAAACGTTACTGTAGAATTTATTAGTTTTGAAGTTTGTAAAAGCTTTCCAATGAATATTTACGAATAAGTTTTAACATAATTCAGCTTTAATAATTTGTTTCAGTCATACAGAATGTTTTATCTTTTGTTAATAAGCAGTTTCTAAATTTTATATCCGGTAAAAGTCGCATTATATTCCCAAACCTGAAACAAAAGCATGTCCTTTTGACCTGGTACGGAAAGTAGATGAATATTTAGAATATAATATGACCCAGTCTGTTGACGGTCAGTTCTGTATAAATTTTGAGCTCCACAGCTCACACCAAACAAAAATACAACTGGGATAACAAGAGAATATAATAACAGTGTACAATGTACATGGTAAAATACAAGAACAATTAATATTTGGTTTACAATATCTTGTGATGTGGAATCAGAGAACTGGAGAGTAGGACCATACCGTTACATGGTTCCGTGAAATGAGCAGTGAAATTGAGCGATATACAGTTGGGTACATAATATGTAGACCGTTCTCTGTGAAAAGGGGTCTTAATGACAAAATTTTCAAAATTGACTTTTTTGTATATTTTAAATCTACAACAAATTTAGGACACAGAGTGAAAATTTGAGCATTTTATTTGCAATAGTTTTGAAGATATGCCTGCTTGAACATAACATGTTGTAATAATAGCAATAAAATCTGGCGACGTTTCATTTTTACAAAATGACGTAAATATTGCATACGTAAATTTGATGATAAAACAGAATAATTTTTCATTATATAGAAATAATTAAGATAACAAAGAAACAGTAAATTTCGTTCAAAAATAGAATTTCTTTTTGTCATTATGTGTACGTTATTCAGGCGGTCGGCCGGTCATATCTTGTTGAGCCGGTCGTACAAATAGTCTTACTTTCGTGAACAAGTACTGCTTGCGAGCATCAGAAAGACCGGTGGGTTGTATAATAGCTGGTCTATCCTGGTTAAACACACAGTTTCTGTCTTTTAATATGTTGATTTTCATTTCTTCTGATGAAACCGATTCCTTTACCGTTACAGTACCAGGCTCTGTACTTTGAAAGCAAAAATGGTGGTACTTGCGTATTCCCTTGAGAGGTTTAAAATACTCGGATAGAAAAGCCTTCCTTTCTCGCCACTGCCATGCGGGATACCGGACAGTCGAGTTTGCAACTGAGGACTGCTCTACGATTCTTTCAAGCTGATCAATAGAATCGCAGTCACTTCGTCTGTAAAGTTTCTTGATTAGAGCAAATCCGCCATCAATGATACAACGCGTATGTCCTGGAACTTGCATCATATACGTTATTTCATCTTGCTGTCCTGTCATAATACGCCACATAAGATATCCGATGACAAACTGGTTTTTATTTTGACCTGAGCAATTATCGGCATGAATTGTGATTTTTCTGTCACCCGTTCCGTACTGAGAAAATGACCAGTCGATCATTGAAATAACGGAATCTGGTCCATGTGTATTCGTACCATCACAATCTATCGTTTCATGTTCATCAATTAAAAAATTTAATTGCTTTGGGATGTCGTCTATTCGAAAACCGAATATTTGAATTTTGGGAAGACTCAGGAAATATAGCGGTCCCATTTGACGAGCATGATGAGGTATGTTTACATTCTGACTGAAATCAAATGTAAAATGTCGAGAACCGTTCTCAAGCGCTTCTTTGATACAATTGTTATAAAGAGCGCTCTCCTCTTGGGCATGGGCTATATGTTCCTGCATTATGGTCGTTGAATCTATTTTTTTCTTCTTCCGATACTGAATCTATAATTAGTTTTCTGAACTTTTTACAGGTAGCGCACACATCATCCCGTGGCTTTGCAATTTTGATATGAGGCAAACAATGGTTCCATATCCCGCAAAAGGTAGAATACTTGACACAACGCATTGGGTGTTCTCCTACATCACAGCTAGAAACATACTTACTATGAACATATTTTTTCGTCACATCAGAAGGGATATATATGGGAGGTATGCAATCTCTCCCTCGAGGAGCTGCAAACTTTCTTTCCAGCAAAAATAAACTCATTTCTTGATCTTTCTCGTTTTCTTCCTCTTTTAGTTTTATCATTGTCACAATTAACAAGAGACCCATTTATGTACAATTCCTTCTCATCTTTTTGCATTTCCCGAACATCAAACACATGTGAAAGAATTTGAGATTCTTGAAATTTATTTATGCAGTTGTGTTTGCAGCCACATGTTTTTCGTTGTAAATCTCTTATTCTGCAAATGGCTTCATCATCTGTCAATACAAAGCAACCCGCTTCATCACATGTATATGTACATCCCTCTTCCTCGCTGTTTAGGCTGTCAAGATATTCTCTAGCTCTGTCATTAATGTTAGCGGGTCTCTTATCCCCTTTCTCGGTGTCAGAAAGACTTAGTTCTTGTGATGCCACTGGAGAAGTGCATGGTGTACGACCGAAGTGCTCAGCGTAGAGACTGTCAAACTCCTGTCAATAAACCAGTACTATTTCAATGTCGTTTAATATGTTTATTACTTTCACAATAAATAAACATCATGCATATATCTACTTGCTGCACACATTAAAAACCTTGGGTATAACATGGAACAAAATACAATAGTAAGACCCTATGTGACATATTGAGGCCCGTGGAAAGCAGCTTCCGTTTGGGGTTTGGGTGCAAACAGAAAATTATGAGCCCCCCCCCCCCCCCCCAAAAAAAATATAAGAATCGTATTTTACTTATGAGGGGGCAACACCGTAACCCAGCTTTGTTTTCTATTGTGAAGTACATTGTATATGCTGGCAAAATTATTGAGGGGTACAACAGTAAATATGGTTTGTTTTCTATTGTATAAGTTTAAATACCCCCCCCCCCCTTTACGGGCCTGTTGCAAAGTACAACACGTAGGATGATTTTTTTCTTACGATGCAATTTAAGATTGGATCTCTCGATAGGCCTGAGTGTAAAATTAACTTAAATAGTATGTGCATGCGCATGTATAAAATGTAGGCTACATATTTTCAATAACAACACAAACTATCATAATGAAAACAATATACATCTGTGTACCCCCAGTATCCTTTCTCTCTCTCTCTCTCTCTCTGAGTCTCTCATTAGTCATTGCCGCATATCATTTTGTGTTGAAATAACACATTAGATAACATGTAAGCTCTTTGATATGTATTAGATTTCATGTTCTTTTTATAGAAATAATCAAAAATTTTATTTATAAATCTTGTACTAGAAGCGACGCCGCGCGTCTGTTGAATCGAGTGCAAAACTGCTTTTTAAAGTATATCAGTGGATATTTTCAGTGTCGATATAAATTTTTACCAATACAAAAACCGATTAACTTAATTATGGCATGTCAAACGTTGCAATATTCGATCTTTTCCATTTGTATTGTATAACTTTCCATTTGTATTGTATAATTTTTATTTGTATTGTATAATTTTTCATTTGTATTGTATAATTTTCAATTTGTATTGTATAATTTTTATTTGTATTTTATAATTTTCCATTTGGATTTTATAATTTTCCATTTGGATTGTATAATGTTTATTTGTATTCTATATTTTCCATTTGTGTTGTAAAAAAATCATTTGTATTGTATAATTTTTCATTTGTATTCTATATTTTCCATTTGCATTGTATAATTTCTTATTTGTATTGTATAATTTTTTATTTGTATGCGATAATTTTTCATTTGTATTGTATCCAAGGATTGTTTATTTATTTCGTTACGAAGGATGTCATTGGTCATAAAATTTAGTCTGTATAAAGGTCTCAGGTGCCCATCACAAACTTAGTCTGGTACCCTTCCCACAATTCCGATCGCGCACTCTCTACAAACACAAACTCGGCTCCTCTATTTGCGGTGCATGCTAAAGGACGACCATTTGATTCTGGGGGGGGGGGGGTGTCGAATCCGATTATTTATTTTCATTCTCTCGCAGGAGAGAATATTTATTTCCAATATGACCAGAGACAAGGAGAAAAACAAAAAGAAGAAAATCCGCCCAAACCCGAAAACTCAGTTTTTTGGGGGTGGGGGTAGTTACCACCACTCAAGGTCAATTTATTTATTTTCTCAGTCAGCATTCCTAAGGACAGATTATTTATTTGCCATCTACCAGCGCTCCCTTTTTAGAATCCAATGACCGTCTAACATGCACGCAGATACATATGCCGCCGAAATATGGCTGAAATATTGCCGACTCGGCGTTAAACAATAATCAATCAATCAAGCAAGCAAATACATATGAGCCCAGTTTGCTTTGAGCATCCGGAACATCTTCAACCCGATACAGGCTGAAACTTGACCAATGAAATCCTTCGTAACGAAACAAATAAACAGTCCGCGGATACAATACAAATGAAAAATTATCGCATACAAATAAGAAATTTTACAATACAAATAAGAAATTATACAATGCAAATGGATAATTATACAATACAAATAAAAATTATACAATACAAATGAAAATTATACAATACAAATAGAAAATTATAGAATACAAATAAAAATTACACAATACAAATGAAAAATTATACAATACAAATAGAAAATTATACAATACAAATAAAAATTGTACAATGCAAATGGAAAATTATACAATGCAAATGCAAAAGATCGAATATTGCAACGTTTGACATGCCATACTTAATATGGACTACAGTTTCAGAGATTAAAAATATCAGAAAATAATATGAATTTTGATCGACCGACCTACATACGCTGCCTGACCCTGCTTAGACAATAGTGGATAAGATCTATGTTATATGAACATATCAGTTAAGAAATTAATATAGGCCTAATCAAACTCTTTTAAAATGAATACAAACTTTCTAATTAGAAACATTTAATACTTACTGATATTTCATCGTCCATTCTTCATTCTTCCAGTAGCCCTTCACTCGCTATTTAAGTAACGTAATTGTAGATGGCGTTTCAGTCTGTATCTTGGTGGATCATAATTTTTGCATTCGCATAGGCGCGTTTTCGTATATAGAAAATTTTGAGACACTATTTGTTTGTTTCTTTCTGAAAATGGTTTATTATTCATTACCCCAGAAAATATAACCTATGGGTTTATTAAATTAATTCGAATATCAATCGCAATCAATCGTACCTTCAATTCTCCGCGATGTATCTATAGGTATTACGTGTAACAGTAAGTAAAGTGATACATTAAGTCATTATCAGAATATCCCTCGAAGGTATCTTAAAATTATTTAAAATGCTAAAGAAACAAATTTGGCATACGAAATGACGACCGGCATACGTATTCATTTATATATTTTCACTGAAAATAGCGGAACTGAACAACGGAATTAAAGTACATAAAAAGAAAAATGAACATGTGCGTTTTAGACGCGAAAATTTGACGTCACAATAAACAGGTTTTTCTCGACGTCAACGCTTATGTCATTAAGCCCGGTTTTGTCAGAGAGCGGTCCAATTATATGTTTCGGAAGTATGTGTTTACCATAAATAGGAAACTGAAAACTGTGAGTTGAAGGGAAAAAAGCATTTAATAGAACTATTATACTGAGATAAAATTTTAGTCTAGCTTTGTCAAAAATTTGTTGTTTGCAAATGAGAAGACCCACATCAATAATTTTGATTTTCTGACAACTCAAACATACCTTGATTGTGTAATATACTTTTAATTGTTTGCATCTTTCAGGCCCGTAGGAAGCAATTTCAGTTTGGGGGGGCACAGCCAAACATTTTTCAGTTGACAGTTGAGGGGGCACCCCCCCCCCCCCCGGTTCCTACGGCCATGTCTTTAACATTCAATCTAAAGTAAATTGACAGTTAAACAGTAATTAAAGGCCAACAACAGTTTCAGAAAAAAAGTATGATATGTTATCTAGAATATGTTATCAAGGTTGGAAAAGATTTTATGATGAGATTTCAAATGGAACAAGAATCTTTTTAAAAATGCTTTTTTGTATGCAACATGTCAGATTATTGTTAGATTTTAGGACAGCTAATTAAATATAACCTGTAGAAGATAAATATCATAATTTATATCATACATTTCAGTAAAACAGTTGATATTTGTAAAATAACTTCCTGTCTCCGTACGTTTCAATAATTGTAGATATCAATGTTGTGAAAGATTTTTACAGATTTCATTTTTCAACTCAAATAATTTCTTATTTACTTCCGTTTGCAACCATATCATTTTTATCAATTTTCTTCTTCTTAATCACAAGCCTTGAGGTATGAGGTATGTTGGCTTGTAATTACACAGACTTACTAAAACGATTTCTCCATCCATTTTCTCCTTCCTCATATCCTCTGCCACCTTTTGGTGATTATCCCTGATCCTCTTCCTTCCTCCCTGGATTTTGGTCTTCTGTAAACCTTGTTTTTGTTTTCCTCACCTTTACAGTCAAAACTAGATATCAATGAGATGGTGGTAATCTCAAAGGGCCAACACGAATTTTGCATATCTTCTATGAAAATTATTGCATATCCTCTATCGAAATATGGAAGGATGATCACAAATGTTCCGTACCCTAAGTCTATTGGTAAAGTTTGAGGCTGACTGGACTTAAGGTAAAGAAATTATGCACAGAACAAAGATTTTAAACAGAGATGCTATTTCTGACATTGACCTAGAAACTTTGATCAAGGTCATTCCACATCCATTGACCAGTGGCACTCTGTAAAGGAAGTATAAGCCACATTGGACCAAGGGGAAAGAAGATATGCTCCGCACAAGGATTTTTCATAT